TGGACACCTAAAACTTTTTTAATGCCATTAATATACTGCACGGATTTGTGTATTGGCTGGCTGCATCTATTTATTAGTAAATAACAATATTGCACGCTGTTTCCAAGCAGCATATCTGTTTTGTGTCAAGATTTTGTGTGTTATAAATATTACATGTAAATCGACTATGAAATATTCTAGCAGTATTAAGTATATAAACTATATTTTTATCAACATACCAATGCGAGGTGAACAAAATCCGCATTAAAATCACTTCAAATATTGTACAACTGAACAAGTCACACGACAAGAGAAACAATATTATTTGCTTGATTGTATTTAAAAATAAATAATCCATATTTTCACGACATTTTTAATAGAGAAATACCAGAATTAGTGCAGAAAATTTCCAATTCGTTATATTATAAATTCGTCCGTTTGTTTATATTCGCATAAATTATATATTATTTAATTACTATTTTCCATATTTCACGCTGACAATACGTCAGACTCCGTCTTTTCCATATGACTCCGTGTTTTCCATATTTTTCTCTGACGTCAGACTCCGTGTTTTCCATATGACTCCGTGTTTTCCATATTTTTATGACGTCAGACTCCGTGTTTTCCATATGACTCCGTGTTTTCCATATTTTTATGACGTCAGACTCCGTGTTTTCCATATGACTCCGTGTTTTCCATATTTTTCTCTGACGTCAGACTCCGTGTTTTCCATATGACTCCGTGTTTTCCATATTTTTATGACGTCAAACTCCGGGACTCCGACTCCGGGACTCCGACTCCGGGACTCCGGGACTCCGACTCCGGGGCTCCGACTCCGTGTTTTCCATCTAACCTAATAAAACAGTTACTATCAATTAGTATAGGTAATAGCATGGTTTCGAGTGCAATTTGGATATAACATGCACGAGTGAGTTTTTCAAAGACCTCAAAATAGCACGAGTCCGAAGGACGAGTGCTATTTGAGGTCTTTGAAAAACTCACGAGTGCATGTTTATCCAAATTTCACGAGAAACCATGCTATTACTTATTAATAATTTACATAAAAATGTTCGAGACAATTGTAGTTTTAACTTACGCGTTTATAGCGAACATTCCACAGGCAAAGTTTTCCGGGCTTTGTTTTATCACATTATACAACGCTAACAGCTTGAAAATTCCACTCAACTGTGTATTTTTTTGTCAGTCTTGTTTAAGGTAAATGCTTTTCCATTTAAAAATAAAGATAAAAGCCATATTTTCCACGCGAAGGCAACTTTTACTTTGTGTAGCGCGGCGCCATGTTTGTTTTGTTTTGAAGCAATCTGTGACCATTACTTCTTTAAAACTAAACTGCTTTAAACTGATTGGTTGATTTAATCATCACAATGTTTTTCCACCAATCAGATCAGTTTGTTACAGATTTTTGCACTGTGATTACAGAAAATTGCACTGTGATTACAAAAAATTGCACTGTGATTACAGAAAATGGCACTGTGATTACAGAAAATTGCACTGCTGTTTGGGATTAACAGCACTGAAATCAACCAATCACAGTCGAGTAATATCTTTATGTAAATTATTAACTGTGTAAACGTTCTCTGGTTGCTATTTATTACAAGCTTTCGAATGCCAGTCTGCAGTCTTCGACGCGTAGATTAATAACTGATGTGCTAGTGATATAAGATATGATACAAAGTGAATAGTGCTATTACAATTACATTTACTGACACAAAAGACAATTACTGACAGTTACGTAGAAGATACTATGTAGAAGATTGGTGACTAATATTGTGCAGAATTTAAAGTTTTTTGAGCAAAAAGCGATATTGTTCTGGCAAATGTTTTGAGTTGTTATCGGCGTCTTTCGTGCATTATGTCGATCTGTGTCGATAGCTTCCCTTGTCAATTACTTTTCCGTTTTTAAAATCAATTCTGTGGTCGTTCGCCCACGCATGGTTCGCGATATTAGTGCCACTCTTACATTTTTTCACGTTTCTTTCGTGCTCTTTTTTTCTTGTTTTGAAGGCCCTGCCTGTCTGCAGACTGGCAGTGGAAAGCTTGAAATAAATAAATTAATTATGAATCAACACAATTAATTATGAATTCTGGTTTCGCTTCCAACATTTTTAAAGTTATTATCAAGTTAGCTCGCCTTCGGCTGAACTGATGACATAGACTGATTTACGTCGGCCCTTGATAATTCTGGATATCACACAATCTTCATCCAATAACTGTTTATTATTACGCATATATCTGCAGAGAAATGAAAAGAATACCTAACTATAGCCTGCATGGCAGGCGGTATTTCTACGGGCAGCGAAAATTAGGGAAGCAAAGGAAATACCGTCTGCCGCAAAACTAGGGGTTTTTGAATTACCCGTCCGCTGGTGAACGGGAAAAACGGATTGGTTAGTATTTTTATGTAGTTGTCAATCAACGGCTAAATCCGTTTTCAAACTCTGCGTTTTGAAATTAGTTCACGTCAAGTCAGACCAGAAATGGAATAACATAATAAAAGAAGCAAATTAAAAGATACAAGCTGAAAAATAACACTCTAAATAGTGTTTTTGATAGAGATTCGAACAAGAATATTTAACAAAGAAGATACGTCCGAAGGGGCCGAAGTTATGATCGGCGAAAGGTATGGGCACAAAATAGAGAAGGGCAGAAGGTTCACTCGAGTCGGAACCTTTGAAGTTTTTGTGCCGGCACATGTTACTTCCGGATCCTGGCCGCCATGTTGAAAGCAACCAACTCTGGTCCAAAACATTATAAACTAATATGGCGAAACTTGTATTTCATAACTTTAAATGGGTATATCGTCGTTATTTTATGGTGGATGTCATTGAAATTTTCAGGACGTACAAAAGAAAGGTAGATTATTCATTTTATTATAATAAAAGCTTATTGAATGATGCTAAAATTGTCATTTTAAACGCAGCAAACTGTATGCTGTTTTGGCACCGATGGATATATACGCATTTATATGTTGTTTTTCTGAGTGTAGTTTGAAACTATTGCAACTACTATTCCACTTAACTTGAAGAAAAATGCGTCATGTCTTGTTTTTAGAACGCAGTAGGTTGATTTTTTTTAATTTTAGGCGCATATTATACTGTGAATATCCTTATAATTCGTACTACTATTCGTACTAAATTATATACCTGATCAGTGAAAGGGGATGTGATGTCTTTGTATTGGGCTTCTTTTTGCGCGAGTAGAATCCATTTTCACCAGAACTGGTTTATAATTTGTAACTTTGATATTAAACTTTGATTGCTGGTAACAGTAATGAGTACGATATTTGTTCACATCTGTATCAAGCAATAATTGATGGTGGAGCAGACTAACTTGCCAGAAGTTACAGTTCATGACCCAAAATTGCAACACACCAATCTCATGTAGATTTACCCAGCAAACACCATCTTAATTAATGATTTCACCTGTTATCAATTACCATCGGCATTGTTAGCTTTACCATCTTAGTGAAGGAGCGAGATTAATTAAGCTCCAAAATAATAAAATATTGCACATTCAAACTGTGTAGCTCAGTCTGGAATGCATTGGTCTTGTAAACCAGGGGTTGTGGGCTGCACTCTTACTGTGGTAAAGTTGATTTTTCTGCTTGCCTGGTATAAATTTACTCAGTGTAGCAACATAATTTAGTAATTTCTCCTGTGTATGATTATTAGATCATATATATAGATGTATATTATCAATATTAGATTTAACACCAGCCTTGTATCTTACAGTTCAGTTCTTATGTACTTGGTGTAAAAGATTTTAAGCAATATAACTTGTAGAAGTTATATTGATTAATTGTTTTGGCAACACAGCATATTGTCCAGTGCACATGGTTAAAGATGCGCTACCTTCAAATATTTTCTGTTCTTCTTTTTAGTGTTGGAAAGTTTACGATTGGCAAATTTCAAGCTGTAGTAAATGCACAACCTCAAAAACAATTTTTGTATCTTTCATGATGTAGTCCAGAAAGCAATTTGTTGGAACATGAAGACCTTCAAATGTGTTTTCTGTTTGATCAAAGGCCTTAAAGAAACAAAACTGCTTCCTGTTATCATCTAGGTCATTACATTGGATGGCATTTGTGCATGTAGGACAGTTGCAGATCTTAATAGATTTATGGATCTAAACTCAAATTTATGGAACTAAATTATATGGATTTATGGAACTAAAATCAAATTAAATATGGATTGATAATATGGATAAAAAATATGGATTTATGGAACTAAAATCAAATCAAAGTGTTGTTTACATTTTTGGGGTTGTACAACTTGTACATAGTAGAATACACTAGATGTTAAAGTTTCATTTACTTGGTTCCCTTTGTAAAAACAACACTACAACTTACATGCACCAACATCCGATTTGTTGCAAGTTGGAACCAGTTTTATTGCCTGATATATTTTACTCTGCCAACAAGTCTTAATAACTAAGGGGCTAGTTACATGAGCCCGACTAGTCCTGTTAACTGAGGCACCCAGCTTAAAACAAATCATTTAACAAGAATCTGCCTAGCCGAGATCTCACTTGAGTCAAAGAGGATGCCCGGATAACCGGGCTGAAATTTCTCCATGTAAAGTCACCAGCTCAGGTAACCTCCTGGCTAGCCAGGCCTTCAGCCTGGTTAACCGGGCCAGCCTGCATGGCTAGCCGGGCTCATGTAAACAGCCCCTAAGGTGATAGCAACAATGTACCTGGTGCTAAATGTAACATAAACTTGAGTAACAGAAAATTCTCATATTCAGATTATTTTCCCCTCATTGTAGAGTAAACTGTTAATATGTATCTTAAAAACTAGAGTGTATATTAGAATCTCACAGATTTATAATTTAAACTGTCGTTAAGATAAAATCAGGTCTTTTATTGTTTGTTTTGTAAATGAAGTTCCCTGATTCATCCAAGCATTGATCTTTAAACTATTTTTCCAATATCAATGAACAGTCATGATGTCATAGGAGGCCTTGTCACTTGTGAGTTGTGATACCAAATTTGTAAAGTCACAGCCAAAGGATTTCAATAGTTTCAAGTCAATATATTATCCCTAAAATTCATTTTTGAAGAAGAAGTAGGTCCAGCAATTTCTTTCATATCGCAATTTATTTTATATTAAACGATTGTAGGCCAATATGCCAAGTTGAATTACGCTGTTTGAATAGTTGATCACAGATTCACAGAAGGTTCGATGAACTCGATTTATTTCCTTCATTGTTCATGGTATTCACGTCCTTAATCCTTTTGTACACCATGAAATATCACCAACCTATCACTCAAAACATATTTTACGGCGATCGGACTAACCACACATAAGCTATATAACTTTATATGTTTATCACTATTCGCCAAAGACCGAGGTGAAATTAATCGATGTATGACAATGGCCAAATTCCACGCTTAAATTCGTTTCTCATCCTCATAGTGACAATTAAATCAAAGAACAACCTCTTCTTTATGATATTTCAAAGTATCATGAGTTTTGCTTGGATACATAAAAAGCTAGAGCACTTTTAGTGGCTCTATTTCGCATTCCGCCATATTAACTCCTATAAAATTTCCTCTGGTTTGGTTGCTTTCAACATGGCGGCCACGCCGGAAGTCGGCTGACATTCTGGCACACTTTTTACCCTTGAGTGAACCTTCTGCTCTATATCTATTCTGTGGTATGGGCTAGTCTATATTTTCGTTCAGACAATTACATGCGTATTAATTTGATAATATACTATCTCGCTTGACTTTCAAAGGCCATAAATCGCAATAATGTTGACATTTTACTAAAACTATCGATAGAAATTAGGAGATATTTCTTCACTGAATCGAACAGTGGGATTTGCATATAGGCCTATCAGTCATGTTCTGAACCAAAGATACTTGATAGATATTATATACGAACCTCCAAAGTATAAACAAGGGGCCGGTTGATGCAGTAATTATCAAATAACTGTTAAACTCTTATATACCCGTTGAATATGTATAGTTGTAAACAAATAAAAACTATTGTTCTATAAGGTTCAATACTTTCAGTTTGGTTGTTGACTGATGATGAATCTATAGTATAGACTTGCATGCTTTGTATTTTGAGCTTATTAAACCACCGTTTTAAGGCAGCTAAACGGCTAAACGGGCTTGGTTTATATTAACACATAAAATAAATTCCTTGATTCTCATCACTAGACACAGTCTACACTTTGAAATGTCGAAGACAGTGGGAGATTTATTTTTTATATTTTATATTTATATAATTTATATATCAATAGTTCGTATCTCCACGAACAATGACAGAATGACTGGGTTCCTTTAAAATACAATGAAATTTCACTCAAAATTCTGTTTGTTTCAAATTGGAAGTTTAAAATGGCAATAAAAACTCTATATAAAATATGAAAAAATTAACTGTCTTGAATTATTTTGTCGGGCGGTACATTTACATTGTATAACTAAAAATAAAACGTTTTCACGAGGATTTTAAAATTCAGTCGGGCGGTGATGAGAATCAAGGAATTTATTTTATGTTGGGCAGTTGGGACTTGGGAGCAGCTTGGGAGTGGCTAATTTTGAATATTTACTTAATTAATGCATCTATAAATAGCGTTGATGCTTCAGGGGCGGTAGTTCATTTACACCCAGTTTTGCGGCAGGCGGTATTTCCTACGTACCGCCTGCCATGCAGGCTAACCTAACTATCGATATGACCGCTAGTCATCTCAATTTGCGACTCTCAACTAAACTTGTTTACATAACTTTCATGTATGATCATTTCATAGAATCCCCATGTGCGTCAGGACCGTGCAGAAATGGTGGTCGATGTCATCAACTAGCTGCTTCATTCCGTTGTCGTTGTCGACCGAGATATAAAGGAAATCTCTGCGAAATAAAAGGTAAATTAAGTGACATGATAAGAAGCATGGCATGAGAGTTAGTGAACAACATCGCCGAAATCACCGAAATTCGGTGGGAAATCGCCGAATTGACAAATTGAAATTGTCTTTTAAGACAAAAACATTTAATAATAACAAGCTAATTACCAAGAGTCCAACTATAATCTATAAATACATGAACATTTAACTTTATGTTATTTTAATTCTGACAACAATTATAACACGTCTAATTAATTAAAATGCATTTCTCAACAATATTCTGTTTTGATTGGTTACATGCATTTCCCAAATAATATTCTGATTGGCTGCAGGTCTACAGATAATGTGCGGAGTCTGTAGGAATAACGTAATCGCCACAGGCGAGACAACGTACATAAGTGTTTTTTACAGTTCTGACGTCATTATTACAAATAATATACAGCAGTATTATTTATCGTACTGCATGGCTCAAAAAATTAATATGGAGACTTCAACTTCAGGGAAAACGAAGTAAACTGTTCAACATGACTGCAAATGTAATGCTTAGTTCGCATTTCTCACATATTTAACTAGATTTTAGCTTTTGAACTGAGAGATTGTTAACACTAGATAGTCGTTTGCGTAGTTTGCTATATGATTTTTATTGTACTTGTTTTTTTCTGTTATTTTACCATTTTATTTGGTTACTTTACTATGATTTTTATAATGGTTCATTATTTTTATGTAGCTATGGTTTATTATGTTTTATTATGGTTCCAGGGCCTCTTTTAAGGATGTGTAACTGGGGGGCATATTTTGTAGAGGACCTGGAGAAGTTCCAGTCGGCAAGTCTGTATCACTGCAGCTATACCAGCATATATATGCATGATTTAACTAATACGTATACGTCATAGGGCAGCAGATAAGGCCTGCACGTAACTCAGTAGGATTCTGAGACAACCGAGTCCACCACCGAAGGTGCGGTCCGTCTAGAGGGGTCTAGGGGAACGTCCCCCCAGAAAATTTTGGATTTCTTGGAGCTCAGATAAGCTATCTCCAGCATTTTGAGGAATGTTACAACAAGAAATTAACCTTATAAACAGTGACTGCACAATTACTGTAATTTTCAGTACAGTCTCCCAAATGTAACCCAGTCCGCAATAAAGCAACACTGATGATGTGATGATGCGGTAATGAAAATGAATGATATTATCATTCACCACACTTCAAATTCTAGAGTACGTTATAACATGTAGGGTACTTCCGTACTTGACATCGACGCATTCGTCTTTTCAGTGTCACTGAAGAGCAAGATAGGGTGGTCTCTTTGGAGTTTCTTGGAAAACCTAAACTAGAATTTCGTCCTAAAATGCCATTTCATGCCTTGTTCCACGAGCAAATTATTTCAGTCATGGTTTAGGTTTCTGGCGATCGATGTTCAATTCCAGTCCCCAAATTCTGGCCTACCGAGTCAACGGATTCGGTTGACTCATAGCTAGTTACGGTCGTGCAGATGATGGTCAAATTCAGAAATGTTAACAACTTAACATCATTTTATCACTTTGATACATAATTGCTGGTTGACCACCTACTGCAGGTAGTTCTTCGGGACCTCACGGGGAGGGGGGGTAGCAAAATTGAGGGGCCAGTAAGATGGCTGGGGGGAGGATACATGTACCCCAATCTATATGTTAAAAGAGGCCCTGTATGGTTCAGTATAGCATGAGTTCCTACTGTATTGTCCCTGTGACAATAACTGAGGAATTTATATATAATTGCCAAAAGAGGCGCCCACAAACTATAGGTAACACATGCGCCTGGGCCATGCTTGATGTCCTTCACACTCTATCACCAGGATCAATCTCGCTTCCAGGCTTTCCCCACTTGTCAGTTGCAGTCTGAAGTTTATACAAAACCGTTTGCTGTTTCGCTTGTGGAATGTTATATGACTAAATTACATGATCAACAACTGTCACGAGTTATGAGAGTTAAATTGTTAAATTATAGTTTTTAAAGTAAATTTTTAACTTGGTATTGATAACCCACCTTATACAATCCTGTAGTACCTATAGCCCTAGCCAGCTGTACATATTAATTGCTGCCACAGATAAAGCATTATAATTCATTTATCTAGTCACACCATGTTCGTCTGGTCCATGCCAAAATGGCGCTACATGTAAAGACAAAAGGAAAACTTTCAAATGTGTGTGTCCACCGGGATATAAAGGAAAAAAATGCCATATAAAAAGTAAGTTAGACGTCAATGTTTTTATTCATTTTAAATAACTATTATATCTTATAATAGTTATTGAATAACTATAGAATTACATATATATAATTCTAAAATATTGTTTCAAGACGAAGTCTTTTATAATTAACAACATTGTGGTTGCCTTGGTTAACATGAAATCATATATATTGTTGTACAAAATGTGCAAATGTATCATGTATTCCACTGGTCGCCTCAACAGCATATATATATATATATTTTCGCCTCAACAGCATATATATATATATATATAATATATATATATATATATTTTCCCTGCGGGAAATTTCCCGCAGGCCATATCTTACACAAGATATTCAACAGAAATACCGCCAAGATTAGCTACAGCTGCATGAGTAATTTTAAACAAAACATCGACGGACATAATAAATCCAAGCTATCCCACCGAGCTAAAACCACCGACGAAAAAAAAAATGCAATTGCCAAAAACCAAGTAAATGCCCTATGTCAAAAAATTGTCTAGCAAAATCTGTTATCTACCAAGCCAACGGAAAAAACATCTGACAATCGGCCCACTCAAACATATGTTGGACTAACAGATTGCTTTGTGATTGGTGTATCGAGTTTTGAATTCATTTTCTGTTACAGAAAATGAATTCAAAACTCGATACACCAATCACAAAGCTTCATTTAATAACTATGAGAAGCGTAATTCTACTGAATTAAGTAAATAAATCTGGAATCTTAAGAACAATAATATTAGTTACTCTATCAGATGGAAAATTTTAAAACGCGCTAAATCTTACAGTAATGCATCCAAGAGATGTAACTTGTGTATCTGGGAGAAGTATTTCATTATTTGTAAACCGGACATTGCAACACTTAATCGTCGCAACGAACTTGTCTCCACGTGTAGACACGCTAATAAATTTCTACTTAAAAACTTTATAACTTGATACTAATATTTTCGTGACACTACTTGAGGTGTTAATTGATTTGTAATTAGACAAGCGTCCTTTATACCATCTGTACATATTTAAAAAGTTTGTTAATTAAGAAGTTATAGGTCAAACATAGGCTATTTTATCTGAAGAGTGCCACGTTATTTACGTGGTACGAAACTGTATAACAGAGCTTGCTAAGTTTTTGTGTCTTTCTATTATGCTCTGGTTATCCATTGAGCACTCTATCATTGGTTTTTATAACCCTACACAAACTATTTTATATATATATATCTATATATATATCTATATATATATATATATATATATATATATATATATATATATATATATATATATATATATATATATATATATATATATATATATATATATATATATATATATATATATATATATATACTGTATATATATATATATATATATATATATATATATATATATATATATATATATATATATATATATATATATATATATATATATATATATATATATATATATAATTTGTTATCTTAAAATGTTTCAATTTCTCGCTAGTTTAAGTTTCATGCCACGATTTGTGGCAATCTTCAGGGGCCGGTTGTATAAAAACGTAATTAGCGCTAACTGTAGTTAGCGTTAATCACTATAGTTAAATCCTTAACTGTAATTAGTTAACTACATGACTTAACTGCGTTGCACAAAATGTAGTTAGTCGGATAGTTAACTAATCACGTAGTTAACTGTGCGTGGGGCTTGCGTGGGGCGTTTAAACACAAAATTACATAAAGTAAGCAGCGAGTAACGACCGCTGACACACATTTTCAACACGATTGTGGTCTCGTATTTTGCAAATAGGCGGGAATTTTATTCAAAACACTAGAAAACAGTGAAAAATAAACAAAAAATAAAGAAAAACCGCCACAAAAATCATAAAAGAATGCAGTTTTTCCTTGAGATGTCTACGTTAAACCAAGGCATAGCTGTTTGGCAATTATATATCAGTGTTTCTTGGTGTAATGGACCATACTTCTTCTTCGAGAAATCCTCCTGTGTAAAAATATGTTCTGTTTTCGTAAAAACACCAAAGCGATAGCATTCGAAGAGTTTATATTGTCAGGAAACATTCACAGGGAAGATAGCGATTGAAAATCTCAGGTAAGCGTTGCTTTTCAT